GGGGGGTGCAGTGTGTGTCACGGGGCGGTGCAGTGTGTGTCCTCAGAGGCGTGGTAGTTACTGCTCTGGGTGCAGCCCCTCAGCTTCCTGTCTGGATTTGAGAGCAGCGGGGGCTGGATGAGCAGGTGCTGCCAGTGACCTTGAGTGGGGGTCTTTGTGCTGAGTGCGCGGACTTTGTGGTTACTGGTGCAGTGTGTGTGTGAGAGAGAGAGAGAATTTTGTCCCTGCATGAATGTGGATGGTCTCATCACATCCTCAGGTGAGCTGACACTTACGCCTGCCCCTGTCCCAGCCTCCCATGCAGCCAGTGCTGCAGTGTGTGTGTGTGTGTGTGTGTGAGGTGTGTGTGCACACGCACACACACTGAGCACCTCAGCTCCAACCCTACTCACCTGGGGACAGCGTGGCAATGATGACTGCTTTTGTAGCAGGGGAGGCCGGAGAGCGCTACCTCTGGCCCGAGGCAGAATCTGCCCTGCGCAGCCTCCAGCCTCCAGGGGAGCAGCCTCCCCCAGGTCCAGATCCCAGCCTGTCCCTCTTGCCTTGCCCCCCAGAGCTGCAGATAGAAGGTTACTTTGCTACTTCAACCCTCAACCCTGTGCCACCCCTTTCCACCTTCAAGTTCCAGCTGCCAGGGAGCCCCTCTCCCCCCACCCCACCCCCACCGTTCTGTCTCCTTGCTCCCCCGAAGGGGCTTTAAATGCCGCCTGCACAGATGCTGGGCTCTCCTTGCCTGCCTGTCCCCTCAGAGCGGTGACGTGATACCTGCCAACCCAGATCCCATTTCCAAACATTAATAACTTCCTTAATCTCCAACTGGCTTTTTCCAGATCAGCCTGGCCACCCCCTCCCTGAGAAACTGGCTGGGGGGTGGTATTGGGCTCCTTTGGCGCCTCCTGTTGTCCCCTGGGCCCCGGCGAGTTTCCTGTCATGGTTCATTAATGCTCCCCCCACCCCCTGAAATCAAGCCCGACCTGGTTTCTGCCCCCTCAGTGCCCAGCTCCTGCTGAGAGTGATAACTGCAGCCAGAGAGGAAGGGTCTCGGGACTATGGAAGGAAGAGGGGCCAGCAGAAGCTTCTAGAATGTCCTGGGTGAACCAGGAGTGACCCCCTCCAGACAGGCCTGGTCTGGGGGAAGGCACAGCTGAGCGGTCAGCAGAGGATGCTGGTCCTGGGCCAGTTCTCCGCCACAGCCAGCGAGAAAGAGCAGGGGTCACGGGGTGGGGTCGGGCACTCAGTGGGACCCTCGCTGACCCCAGCTGCCCGAGGGGCTGAGCGTCGAGGGTCCTGTCCCCAAGAAGTCCTCAGTCACCAGGGAGCCGCTCTGGCTCCAGTTAGAACTGGAAATTGTTTGGGGGTTGAACTTCTGGGTAACGGTGTGGGGACCTGAGAGAGGGAGGCTTCGTGGCCCCCGAGCTCTAGCAGGTCGGGATCTAATCCGTAAGTTCAGTCCCAGAGGCAGGAGCCGGGCTGGGGACCAGAAGGTGGCATGAGAGGCGGCTGCCAGTGAACGCCTTCCCCTGGAGATAGGGGAGAGAGATACCTGGCGAAGCCGCTCTCATCAGGGGGCTGGAGAGAGCATGGGGGGCGCACCCAGGACCCAGCACACCTGAGGCTTAGGGGTGCTGGTGGTAGAGGGCGGGCCCTCCCTGACCCCACGTACTCATTTGGGGAGCTCCCGCTCCCACCCCACTCTGGCTTCTCTGCGGGTGGGGCTGCAGCTGGCAGCGAGTCGGGGAACACGGCTGTGCCGCTCTTATTGTGCTTTGGGGGGGAATTGGCTGTGGGGGCTGCGGGGGCGCACATCACGGGATGTTGGGGAGACAGTGCGCCGTGTGAGTGCGTGTGCCCGGCCCCTCTCCACTGGGCAGGCCAGGTCAGGGGCTGGGGGGCTGCAGCGGGCAGCCCCAGTCCCCGCACACTCCATGCCACCGCCCCCGTGGGCCCGTGGCCCGGCCCAGCCCGTGGCCCGTGGTGCGCGTGAGGACTCTCGGTGGCAGCCAGGAATGTTAATGGTGCCGGGCTCTGCATGGGCTAAATTTAGAAACCCAAACCGAGAAGGTGAATGGTGCTCACCTTCCCGGCAGCCGGCCTGGTCCCGCTGCAGGCCTGGCTCTCCCTCAGCGGGGGACGCTTGCGTGCCCACCTCCTCCACCCTGCACCTCCGACTCCTCAGCCTGGTCTGAAGGCCCCTGGGGGGCTGCGGAGGGGCCCCGGCGGCCCTTTCCTCTGGCTACCTGCCTCCAGAGCAGAGTTCAGCCCAGTCCTGCCTCACCTTCCGGGGCACAAGTTCCCCCAGGAGCCCCCAGACCACGCTGGACACAGCCCTGGGCAGGACTGGGCACGGGGCCCTCTCCCCGCCCCCGCTGCTCACGTCACCGTGCAGGATGCCACCCCCACCATCTGGGGGCGGTGACGTGGACGGTGTGACGTGGTCAGGCGCCTGAGAGCCGTCTGTCCGTGGCAGAGGGAGATGTTTCCGGGAGTCGGGCCAGAGCCCCAGGAGACAGGCGGGCAGGAGCGGCCCATTCCGGAGGGCCAGGGATGAGGAGCAGGTCAAGGGGAGGGGCAGGTCCTGGAGCCTGCTGCCAGCCCAGGAGCAGCTTGGAGTGGGCTGGTCCCGCGGTGGTGACACCTGCACACAGTGGCCCAAAGTGGGGCTGCAGTGTCCCCCCCAGCCCCCTGGGCCCCGCGGGGAGGCAGGGAGCTGCTGCCCGGTCTCCGGGAGTGAACTGGTGCTGTCTCCGCAGGGCAAACGCTACAAGAACTCCTTGGAGACGGTGGGCACTCCGGACTCAGGGCGTGGGCGCAGCGAGAAGAAGGCCATCAAGTAGGTGTCAGGCTTCAAGTTTGGGGAGGGGCCCACAAGCAGCCCAAGTCGGGGTGCCCCGCCCCGGTCTGGCCACACACACGCTCGGTTTGCCCCCCACCCTGGCGCCAGGCTCTCTGCCGCCACCCCACACCTCAGGGTGGCTCCAGGCCTCCACCTTCTCTGCCTGTGCCTCCCAGAGCCCCCAGCCCTCGGTGCTGGCTCCTCCATCCCCCTCCCATTCTCCCACCCACCCCCCACACGGTACCCCACACACACCTCCAGTCTCCCCCCATCATCCCGGCACCTGGAGCCCTCACCTAGAGGACGTGGCTCCTTGCTCAGACCCCACAGTGCTCCGGGGTGACCTGGGAGAGGGACAAACCCCAGTGGGGACCTCTCAGGGGAAGCAGAGCTCTTCTCTGCCTGTCACCCCGGTCCTCACCCAGCTCTCCCCATTTTGGACTGGAGCCCCCTCCGCAAGGAGCCTCTCCCTGAGGACTCTGGCCTGTGGCCGATGACCCTCTCCTGCTGAGCCCAAGCTCCACCAGGAGGCTGTGGGGCCAAACAGGGATGTCCTCCCAGCTGCAGCCGCAGGCCAGGGGCCCACCCCTACCCTCCGCACCCTGCCTCCTTCAGCTCTCAGCCCTCAGCGTCCAGTGGGTCTGCCCTGGCCCGGGTCTTCGCCCACCCCCCGCCCCTCTGCTCCTGGGGCTCCCTCCCTGCCCCACTCTGCCCCCTCCTCTATTTTCTTCTCTTGCTCTGACCCTGTTTGGGACTGGCCCAGAGCTGCAGGTGTGTGTGTGGGGTGGGGTGGTAAGTGGAGGCTGGGCCAGACCGAGGCTGGGGTGTGCAGGAGGCTCAGAGGACCTGGTTTGGTTGCACTCTGCAGCCTTCAAGGTGGAAGACTGGGTGGTCTCAGGCTTTTTGAAGGCGTGGGGGGCGCCCTGGGGGCAGTACGGGCCGCCCAGCTGCTGGGCCGCCTCCAGGCCAGGCCCGGGGCCCAGCTCGCTGCCCAGGGGACGTGTCTCCATCACGTGATTGTACCTTCCTGGATCGGGTGTGTGACCTGGTTGGGAGTCCCGGCAAGGACCCATGAGAACAGCTGGGTTTCCTAGCAAGGGGAGGGCACCCTGGGGGCTGAAGGGCTGGGCCAGCACCCTCTCCCACCCCCACAAGGGATGAGCCAATGAGCACCAGAAAGCAGTCCTGTCTCTCCAGTGGCTGGCAGGCCTGTCCGCTCCCCGCACCCCGCCCCCCTGGCCTCCACTGCCGCAGCGGCAGGAAGCCACCTTCCCCCTGCCCCCCTAGATTCCTGGGCCTCTTTCCAGGGCCTAAGGTTGTGGCAGGAAGCAGGTCTTCCTGCTTCAGTCTCCCGTGGACTTAAGACCTCCGCCAGAGGGATCGCTCCTGTTGGATTCTGGGGAGCAGCCTTCTTTAGCAGGACTTCGCAAATTCTGTTCCTCAGAGCATGATTATTCACTGAGGCAAGGATGCCCTGGCCAAGGATGCCCTGGCCAACTGAGTGTGGGGAATGTGATACACGCCCTCACCCTCTGGGAGAGACCGACGTGGTCTTGCTAGAGGCCCTAACAAGGCCTGCAGCAGACCAACCAGTGTTTCCCAGCCTTGCTCCTTTAAAGGTTCTCTCTTCCAGACAATCTGAGGGTCCCCAGAGCTCCCTGGATCACAGGTGGGAGCCCAGGGCAGGGGTGCCCCTGAGTGCATCTTTCTCCAGGACCTAGGGTTGGATGGCCCTTGAGTTTGGAGAGCTGGGGGACGGAAGCTAGGCCTCGCTGCACTGTTCATCACAGTTCCACCCTGTGTGACGCTCTGCTGGGGGAGGGGGGTCAAAGGGCCACTCTGATGGGAATAGGGTCCAGGAAGTCAGGCCAGAGAGCACCTCCTACTACCTCTGGGGGTGCTTTTCCCACACCCAACCCCATCAGCCCCTGTGAGTTCGCTTTGAACCCCTGTGCAAAGAGGTCTTGTGAGACATTTCCAGATGCAGTCTGTGCTCCAGACCAGAGAGGCCCAAGGGGACCCTTCCCACCCCCAGTCAGGGCCTGGGTCTCCTTGGGCTGTGGCTTCTCACTGTCTTCCTGTCTTGTCCCTGAGTCTGAGGTTGAGAGCCAGAGTCAAGGTTACCCTTTGCAGTAGAGAAGCTGCTCCTGCAGAATGTGTTACCGCTTGACCCTCAGGGGGTGTCTCTCCATTGCATGCCCATCGCCAGGCAGGTCCCTTGGGCACAGTGGCAGCACAGGTAGCCCATCCACACTGCTCCACAGAGCCCCTTCCCCAAGTGCATGCCTGGTGGCTCAGGCGGGCTGACCTCTGGGATGTTCCTTCAGCCTGTAACCGCCTCTCCCTGCGCTCCTAACCCTGCTCCTCTGAGCCTTAGGAATCTGACAAGCTGGTGGAGACCCTTGTCCTGGCTTCTGGGGCTTCCAGACCATACCTTCTGCTGGCTGAGGCTTCTCCCACGACCCCAGCTCCCCTAAGGCCCTCCACCCACCCTCTGTGCTCCGAGCATATCTGCTTTTGTGGCACAACATGTGATGAGGCAGGAATGTGGGGACACTGGGGTACCCAGCAGCTCCACTTTGGGAAGGGATGGGGCACAGGGTCAGCTGCGCCAGCCAGCAGGGCCCAAGACCCAAGGCCTAGACTCCCCCAGAGAAGGGTAAGCTCCCCTAGACAGGCCCCAGAGCAGAGGACCTGCTGAGCCTTGATGGCTCTGGTTACCCCAGCAAGTTCAGAGGCCCTTTCCTGGGTGTGGCCTGGCCCCCACATTTGCAATGAGTAGAGAGGATCTTCAGCTCCAGTGGTCTCCTGGCCACATCCGTGACGTTTGCCTCCCATGTTATCTGAGGGGGATAGAAACAGGGAGTAGGTCACCTCAAGTCGGTGGGAGGAGGAGAAACGGGGGCAGGCAGCCGGCCTCTGCCATGAGTGGCGCTGTGGGGAAGGACAGGAAAGGGGAGAGCTTCAGGTCGCCCAGACCCAGCCTCTGCCCGTGGGAAGGTCTCTGGCCCAGCGGTCACAACCGACCTTCTCCTTCGACAGGCAGGGGCCTGAGGCCTGGAGAGCTGGGGCCCCCGGGGTGGCAGCAGAGGCCAATCTATCTTTCAGCTCTTTGCAGCCAGAAACCAGCCCCGTGTCCTGCTCCCATCCCACCCCGTGTGGCCCCCAGCCCCCCCTCACCATCTTTCTCTCCCACCAGCTTCCCAGGTGCGAGGCTCGTCCGCCTGCTGCAGCTCCACCTGGCCCGGCCCGCGAGTGTGTGCGCACCTGAGCGTGGCGTGTGTG